GCAGAAGGCTGGGAGGGCAGTGGGCCTACCTAGCCTTCTTTAGAGTGGAGTTCCACAGCTTGGTAGTAACCCCTAAGAAGGTCCCCTCCTTGGTTGGAATTAATTTGGATTTTCACAAGTGCAGTGCAAAGCACATTTGCTAATGAATATGCCCTCTTCAGATGTAGTGGGATGCGCATAGGATTGCACTGTTACTGTGTGAAACACAAAATTTAAAAATACAAAGCACCTGGACAATATTAATGTTAAGTTAACATAACACTTCAGTCATACAACTTTCTTAAACATATTTGGGGCATTGAAAAGCATACTAGGTCCTTTTGCAAGGTCGCCTTTTGATTTCTCTGGTGGAACAATATGCCGTTATAAGACCTAGCAGCATCATAGCTGCAAGCAGTGATATTATTATAGCACCTCTGTATCCCAGGATATCTTTCTTACTTCCTTGATCTATCTGTGAGTAATGGTCCGCTATAATGCCACTGCTTCCCCCCAAACTGCTCGATATCCATCGTTCTGATGTGTTTTCTCTAGGGAGCTTGAATTTAAGGAGCAGCTGAAAATCACACACAATACTGATATATTCATTGGAATTCATGGGGCAGGACTTACCCACCTTCTCTTTCTGCCAGACTGGGCTGTCATCTTTGAACTGTAAGCATCCAGAGGGTTACTTATGTTTGTACATTTCATATATTTTTATCTGTTTACATCAAGATAGGATGCCATTTCTTGCTCCTAAGAGGGTTTCTAATCTGTGCTTTTTAATAGCTAACATAGTAAAAAGATGGTGTGGCTGTTTCCATCATAGAAACCGTCAGATTTTTCATACTCTTGGTGGAAATAGAGGATCATTTCTTCAAACAGATTGTGATGATAGTTTGTTAGTTTTAATTGAAGAGAGGTAAGCAGGTGGCAGTCCATTCTCCTGCTCTAAATGGCCTGATGGTAAAACATGGAAAAATGTCGTGTGTTGGTTCATTTTAAAAAAAGCTCCTGAAAATGGTCTTAACCGACTAGATAGGCGGGATATAAATAAAATAATAATTTAAAAAATCTAGCCTGACCTCTTGTTCCCAGTCAAGACCTGTTAATGCTAGAGCTTGGCAAAATTACTTTTTTTTTTACACAGACCTCACAGGAATTCTGGGACTTGTAGTTTGAGGCATGTACTGTATGGAAAACCTTGTCTGCATTAGTAACACAGCATTGTACTGGTTATGAAAGCATTGTTGCCATTTTGTGTAATCAGAGGGTTGGCTTCCTTCATGGACATCACAGCTTGTGTGAGGGCAACACAGAAGTTGGGAGTTTGGTTTCCCACTGTTCCTCCTGTGAGTGGAGCCACCTGTATAGTTTTGGGCAAGTTGCACATTCCCAAGGCACCCTGAGAAGAATAGTAAACTATTTCTGAATATTCTCTACTTGGAAATCCCTGAAAGGGGTAACCATAATGATTATAGGTATATAATTATATTTAAACTGTAATCGCTTACTGTTCTTGTTAGGATCCTTTAATACCTGCTGTTTGTATGATATCATGAAGCTATGATGAGATTCACCAGTAAGATTATTGCGGGAGGAGTGTATGAAGGGATTGTTGCTTTAAAACTGTTCATGGCTTACCTAGGTTCCCATTCCAGTCTCTGGCCCCTTCTGCAATATAGCTATACAATGAATTTAATTGTGACATACCATGTGGCTTTAAAATGACCTGAAATTTGTTGGTTCCTGCTGTATGGCACGGTTGCTAGGCAACTTTCTCTTTACCAAGAAAAAAAGCATATATATGATTAGCCTTCGTTATTTGGAAAAAAAAACTTGCATTGCAGAACTGAACTCTAAAATCTTGTGCAGTTCTCTTCCTCTTTGAGCCCGAGAAGCATTGATTTGTCTTATATATTATAAGCAGCTCTCAGCCTCCATGGTTATCGCAGTATGCCTGTAGAAAAGAGATAACACCTGCCAAGCCATGATACAAGCAGTGGGGCACTTCAGGCCTCCATTGTAGGGTGAGGAACCCCACTTAAGAGTCTAGGCTCCAGTACCTGTTGTCAGTAAGTTTACAGTAAAAGCACAGGTATGTCATGTTAAGCTCTAGATGCTGTCTGTGGGGAGATTAAACATAAGAATTGGGGAGAGCTTTCCCCTACATACTCTGTTGTTGCTGTCCCACAGAGAAGGGGCTACTTCTAAAAACGGTTTGTGAAAAATTAATTTAGTTATGAGGTACTGTGTTTCCCCAAAAATAAAACAGGGTCTTAAATTAATTTCCCCCCCCCCAAAAAATACATTAGGGCTTATTTTCAGGGGATTTTTAAAAATGTACAACAATCTACATTTATTCAAATATAGTCATGTCATCTTCTTCTGGTTGCTGCACAATGGTGGAGTGCAGGGTTTCACTTAACTGGGGCTTATTTTTGGGTAGGGCTTATATTATGAACATCCTGAAAAATCATACTAGCGCTTATTTTCAGGTTAGGTCTTATTTTCAGGGAAACAGTGGAATCAAAATCTTATGTAGTGTAAGTTACAGAATTTTAATTGTTAAATGCCAGTGTTGTTAACATTTAAAAACAATGATCAGCACTTTTTTGCTCATTGTTGACCATTTTTGATGATTCTATATGGTATAGCCTAATCTAATGGTTTAAATAATTACTTAACAAATTAATTTTATATGGCTTTGTTAACATTTATTAAATCATAACAAATTTCTTTAACAATTTAATGTTAATGTGTGTCTGCTAACAAATATTTTTAACACTAACTGTAATAATTCTTGAAGCAAAAGTAATTAATTAAATAGTATAACTAATTAATTAATTGCTTCTTGCCTCTTTAGGAGAAGAGGAAGAAGAGGAAGATTCTTCTTTGTGGTCTCTGTAAATGCACACTAATGGGTTAATCTGCCCCTGCACAGAGATCTCTAGAATATTCTAGAGCTCAAACATGTGTTCGCTAGGACCGCGCCCCCAGTACACGTGGTCCGCCCATCATGGTGATTACCTCAGTTCCTTTTTGCTCCTATTGCAAAAACTTTACTAAACAAGTGATGAAGCTCTTCGAGTGGTCATCTGTGAATTCACACTTCCCGCCCGTCCTCCCCTCTGTCCGTCACGTCTGTCTCATTCTGCAGGCAGCGTCGGCCTTTTTGGGGAACTGAGGTAATCACCACGACGGGCGGACCATGTGTACTGGGGGGCAATCCTAGCAAATGCATGTTTGAGCTCTAGAATATTTTGGAGATCTCATTAGTGTGAATTCACAGATAACCACTTGAAGAACCAGAGTTACAGGTAAGTAACCTCTCTGTCTCATCTTATCAGTTTTCTTACAGGATAATCTTTCTACTCTTATACAGCAGAAGGCAGGATCCAGGGAAGACACATCTCTTTATCCCCATTATTTCTGCATCTCTCTAGGTACAACTGTGAAGATGAAAACTGCTATTTGGATTTAGCAAGGCTGAGAGGCGTCCATTACATCACCTGGCAAAAGAAGCAAAAAGTGTTTCCCCAGGATGAGGTAGCAGAAGGAATGGGAGGGACTCTTCTGTTTTGTTTTTAAAATTTTGCTATACCATTCTCAGCCTTTCCACATGATATATGGTTCTTTTAACTACAGTCCAAATTAAATTCTCTGCTCTGATTAAGGAATCATTTTATATTAATAGCTGGAGGAGGGAGAGAAATGAAATTAATTGGCCATTAGCTCAAGACTGTCAATAGCATTGCTCTTAGGTATTTTCTTACTGACACAGTTGCTTTTGGGTGGATCGATAAACCAGTGATTATGAATTAAAATAATTACTCAATTTGCTGGTTGTTTTCCAGCAATGAAACCGATTTGTTTGCTTCCTTATAACCATGTTAATTCCCTTTTCTTCAGGGCCATCATCCAACATTAGGAAAACACCCAAAGTTTACAAATTATTCTTTTGACGTGGAAGAATTTGTCCGCCTGGTGCTCTTGGCAGCTGATCATGTATCACAACACTCCAAGTGGCCATTTAGGAGAAAACACGATGAATTCTAGGTCCACTGTCACACTTTATGGGGTATTTTAAATATGAAAGTGTTTTAAAATGTCACAGTATTTGGATGTACAGTCACTAATTGTTTATATATATATATATTCATTCTCCTGGAGGGAAAAAGATAAAAGGCTAAATAAAGAGTTGGGAAAGTTTAAATATGAAAGTGTTTTAAAATGTCACTTATTTGGATGCACAGTCACTAATTGTTCACAGTTCACTAATTGCTGTTCTTCTGATATTGTTGGACTGCTACTCCCAGCATTCCTCACCATTGCTGTGCTGACAAGGGTGGCTGGGAGTTGCAGTCTTAGGGCTGCATTAAACCAGTGGGAACCCATATCTTGCATGTCTCTCCATGCCTGTTGTTTCCATATTTCTGTTTTATTACTAGCAGTTTGCTTCCTAATTTTACTTGAGGATTCAAGATCTATTTATTAAGATGACTACCGTTTGCACTCCCCTTGTCCTATTTATTTCAGAATTCTCACCATCATTGTTAGAATGGGCGACTCCTTGCTGCAGGGTTAAAAATTAGAGTGGGTTTCCTCTTGTTTCCTCTTTAAAGCTTGCAGGAGATTTATAGCACAATTACTCCTCTTGTCCTTTTAACTTTTTCCCCCACTATACTTTTGTACTGACTGACACTCCACAGCACTGAGGAAGATAAAAGGGGGAAGGGGGAAAGAATCCTGTTGAAGTCCTAAGAGTTTTCAGCAAGCTATATGGAAACTTTTCATTGGGAAAGAAGCCAGATGAAATGTTATGATAAACCAAATGGGCTACATCCAGGAGTTAATCCCAACTGGAATGGATCCATTAGATCAACAAGACTTGTATAATTGTCCTGTTGGTTCAGTGAGCCTGCTCAAGTTGAGGCCCAAAATTAGATTTCTTCCATGGGCTGCATTCAGTGTTTGTACTGTATAAACTAGACTTGCCAAAAACCCATTCATTTCAGTAAGTCTACTCTAGATAGGATTAGCATTGTATTTAGCTCAATTTAAGTGCTATTTTTGAAGGGGGGAAACAGCATCTGCCAAGACAAGCATCAACTTTGAGGGTCAATTGCAGCTGGGGAGAGCAGAATTTTGGGAGGGAGACTAATGGAGGCCCACAGGCCAGATCAGGGACATGTTTTGGATTGAGCCCCTGTGCCTTTTTTAAAAAATATACATCTATAATTAGCTAGGTTAATTGTGCTTTTTAAAAAAAGCATCTTTATCATAATCTATACTTTGGCTCAGGTGTTGCTTTGAATCCTGCAGCCTTTAAAGCAATGCTAATTAACTTTCTCATCTTGCTTTTGTTTCTGTTCATACACTTCAAGTTTCGGTTTATTAGGTTCAGATTTAATTAATCAACATAAATAACTGCCCCTGTGCTGTATTTCCATCAGGCGGGGGCAGATAATGTAGCAGATGTTGTATTACTTTCTTCCCATCAGTGAATTTGAAATTTCAGCGCTATTGCGCTGTAATACAGATACATTTTGGGGGGTGGTGGAAAACTAAAGTGAAAGTTGTCATCGGTGATGCACAGAAGATTGTTACTGTGCAGATAACTTTATTAAAAAAACTCGTATGCATTTTTTTAAGAACTTGAGTCTTATATATAAATGTTTGACATAAAGATTTGGAAAATAATATATGTTTTCTTAGAGAGCTTTATTATTTATTGCTTTGCATTATAGTGTTGCCTAGGAAAAAAAATAACTGTGTGCACATGTTTTAACACATTCCAAACCTAGACTCATTTCTTTGGAGCCAGGTTTGATTCCAGTGGGGCCCATCTGTTTGTATAGTTATGCCCTTGCCAGCAGGATGGCTGAGCTACAGGTGATGTCCCATCATTAACCCATGGCTCTTGCCACAGTTTGTGCTGTGGATGAACTGCCAGGTTTCCTTGTACTACATGTTTTTCCCTATCTGTCATAAATTACAACTTTTAGCTGGGCATAAATCCAGTAAGACTTAACTGTGGTTGATCTAAGTCCTTTTTTAATTCCTTCCGCCTACTGTGAGAATACTGACATGTATCTAACCTATGGAAAGCAGCAGGTTTGTGTTATTTAGCATGTTTATGTGGGCAAGCTCAGAGAAGGCAAGAGAAGTGGTTTCTTTTCAGTCCTTGTACAACTTCATAATTTTTTTGGCTGGTTCCCTATTCCTGAAATATATAATGTAACATGTATTATTTTAATTTTCACAGCACACTTCTCCTCAGAATCCTTCTCTGTTTGCTGTAACAATTTACACTGGTTTTGTGGCAGGTTGTGCCCTTTCATTAGTCTTTTGGGCAAGACATCTACTCTCCTTAACCAGCACTTTAACTGTGCTGGTGGCCTTTTAATCCAGCGTGTGCCTTTTCTAACATTATAGGTCCTGCTGAAATTATTTCATAGAATCTTTCATATCTTCCAAAGATACCTAACTTTCCCTTTTAATTAAAATTTTCATTTTTTTAAAAAAAATCCCTTTTGATAATTGAATGCTACTTTTTTAAAAAGTGGTTATTCACCTATTTTATTGGCAGTTTCTATTCAGTTGATTAGAAACGATGACAAACCTAGACAGTGTGGGGGTGCCATTCCCAAGGTTGCTAAGTGCATGGGTGTTCTAGTGAGGGAAAACTCTCCTAGCATCCTGTGGCTGCTTCTGAGGGGAGGAGCTGCCACTATTCCTCCTCTTTCTCATTATCATAGAGACCTTGCCATAGAGGCCTTTCCTTAGGCCAATCAAGAGGGCTTGATTAATTGCCTTTCTCCAGACCAACCCTAATAACATGATGTAACCATTGTCCTATCTGAACCCTGTCTACTATCTGTAATGCTGTCACTACCTGTGACCTTGTAATGTTAATAAAAGGACAGTCTCCTGGGGGCAGAGAGAGCAGAAC